ACTCACTCGGATATTCTGCAAGTTCCAACAGATCTCTTTAATGTTAACACTGCGGTCAAAAGTCACCCAGCCACGACGGAAAAACCTACACAAGAAAGAAAATGTCAGCACAATCCACAAGGGTGGTGGTATTGACCATTACCTTCCCCTTTCACCTTCTCTCCAAGGTATGTAGTTCCTCACCTCCTCTCTGGCTGGGGTTCTGATAGTGCCACACGCATAAAGCCTGGATATCTTTTACAAAGCTGCAAGAAGCAGAGGAAGAGAAACTCTACTTAATGATTCAATCCCCATTGTCCTCAGAACCCTGGGAAACTGCCTTTTTATCCTTCTCATCCTCACACAGGGAAAAACACAATACGGGGCTGAAGAATGCCAGCACCTAAAAGCAAATGGCACGATAAAGAGCAGCCCTTGAAGGGCATGGGCCAATGGGAAGAGGGCTTCCCTATTACATGAAATAGGGATATGTGTCAAAGGCAGTGCCAACTGCCTTCTCTCTACCTTCCCAACCCAAAGGAACATATCTTGAGTACGAGCCCCTGCCCTGAAGTTGATTTTTCCACTCACAGAAATGATCTCAGCTCTGGAGATATTGGGTGCGATGTTGCGCATGAAGAGAGAACAAGTCTTATGCAGGGGCCGAGGCTTACACTCCAGCCCTGCAGCATCTTTAGGCTTCTCCCTTTCTTCTTCCTTGGGCTTCTCCTTTTCCTTGAGTGCTTCTTCTATACAGGAAGTGGTAAGAATTGGTGAATTTTTATTACTGATTTTGTTAGGAAGGAAAAAGAAACTGTTACTGCCCCCCATCAGAGAAGTCTTCTCCTAAAAACCACCCTCCCATCAATTTCACCAGCCTCTCACCTCTCCCACCCCAATGCAGTAGGAAGAGAAAATAAAACCTACCAGCCTCCTCCTTCTCTTCTTCAGCATGGCCACTCTCAGACTCAGACTCAGACTCAGACACGCTACCTTCATCAAAGCTGTCATCACCACTGTGCTTCCTATTCCGCTTCTTGCTGCTCTGTGAAAACCACAGCAGAAGGGATAAGTCAGAAAACCCAGACCCCAGCCCAACATTCTGACCCCAAGCAACAAATAACTTACCTTTTT